GGAAGAACGCGACTTTGTAGGGGCAGGGAGCCGATAGAGGCCGGATAAATTTTTAATTTTATTTTGCCACCCCACCCTAACCCCTTGATTCCCACCACGCGGCGGGGTCTTGTGGTTGGAGGACCCCAAAGTCTGCCACTTCGTAAGTAATAATATTCAAATCCCAACTGAGGACGAAGGACCATGCTAATGGTCCACAGAATTCTATATATTGAATGAGAATAAAACATTGAAGCAATTAACTAAAGAACCTTTTTTCCTAACTTGTTTGGTTTCCATAAATAATTTCAGGATCCGGCCAGCTGCCCGGAAGATTATTATGTATCGATATGTTTTTTTTGGATTACTCTGGTGGTTCCTCCTGTCTCCTTTTGCGTTGCTCCACACGTGTCTCGGTGTTTGCTTTAGTACGGCCACACACGGGTAGCTTGAGCCGCGGATATCTTTTTTCTTTTTGACGCCATTTCGTGTTAGACGCTAACGCGGTCACGTTCGGCAAGCATCCACTCTCCACAGCATGGTGCCTGATATTTTGGAGTCATCTCAGATGTAACGCCGGCACCACCGCCGTGGCACGCATGGGAGGTAAGATGGAACGCGGGCAGCGAAAGATATTGTGCTGCACATGTGTCTGTTGCATTTGTTCTGTCGTGGTGACTTCAATGTAGAAGGAGAGGGATGAACATTGCACGATTCCGTGGCTTGGAGGAGTTATTGCGCCCTTTTTTTGTATGATCTTTGGTTCCCGCCCGTGTCTGCCGCGATTTCTTTTCTGAGTGGAGCTGCGCCATGGCCATCCTTTTTTGTCGTTGTTGTCCTTTTATGTCGGGGCACGGCGGGATTGGAGGCCACTGCCCCACGAAAGGCATTGCGCACATACACACTCTCATGCCGCTGTCGCCCGGAGGTCGGGTGCAAATCCAATTTTTGCTGCTTTTGCATTGGCGCAATTATTTTTATTTATTATTGGCTGACGCCTTCCTGTCCGGCGTGTCACTTTGATTGGATTGTGTGGGACTGCTCGCCAACACCATCAAACGAAGCAGGCTGAAGAATTCACGTATTTAAATGCCATCTTGCACGCACGTATTTTTTTTACTTGTTCAGTTGATGTGCACTCAAGCAGCGAGGGATTTGGAACTATGCGTGCGTGGAACTTGTCCTGCCATGTGAACTGCGGGCAACACCGATGGGCTACCACTTTTACTCCGCAGAGTTGTTGTGTCTCTTCGCAGGGCTGGCAGGGAAATTCCATGCAGCCAGCTACTGCTGGTGTGTCCCCAAATGTTGCCACTCCATGCGAATAATGTGCTTCAGCGAGTGAGGGGGTTGATTGGGTTTGTGTGCACTCTGATTGTGTTTGCTGCTTTGTGCGGGCACGCAACACCTGAGGGGTGGGAAAATGGAGCGGGCGATGCATGGCTGCGTTCCGCCCATCGTTCACTGCACGGTGGTGCGGTGCGCATTGTGGTGCTGACTCTGCGATGTGACTGCGGTCTCCTGCGCGGCAATGGCGGTGGGTGGAGGAGAGTGTTGGCCCGCGGCGTGACGGTGGGATCGTGCCTCCTTTTTATTCTTTTGTGAAGGTGCACTTATTTTTAGTGTTAGTGATGGGGCAAACCGACAGACGACGTGAATAAAATAAAAAAGGGCAATAATGTGGCGGTGTTGTTGCCTATTGCACGTTGTGTTGCTGCGGGGGCGGTGGGCCTTGACTGTTTTGCCGACAGGCGTTGCAGTGCGGCCGCATGACGCACCGACCGCCCCGCCATGCGAGCGCCACGCCCAACGCCATTGGGACTGCGGGACGAGACAGCCGCGAGCGTCCTTTGGAGCCAGCGGCACCTGTGTTGGCTCCGATGCTGCAGCTCAACATTTGCTGGGGAGTAAAGAGTGACCGCGTTGGACTCTTGACAGTCTGGTGGAAGATCTAATGCTGGACGGAGATACTCTGAGCACCAGCTTTAGGCTTATTTTTTTTTTTTTTGAATTGTATTGGCTCCAGGGCGACCGTTGATGAAAGAACACAATGCGACGGGGGAGATGTTTATTCGGAGACTCGATGCTTACGTAAAAGGCCGGCAGCTTCTTGAGGGAATTCTTAATTTGACAGACTACCAGGTGTACAAACTTCTTCGCGAGGGTGTGTTCTTTCCTCGTCAATGGAGGGACTATGGGAGGAAAGACACGATCAATTTCCGGGCAATGCAAAACTTGATTCAGCTCTGGAAATGCCGGACGGATACTCGGAGCAACGAAAAAAAAATCCACCCTTGTAACTACGATTGAAGATGTGCTGTCTAAAAGAAAAGTTCGTGTCATGGACCGAAAGCTGAATGAGCTTCTTAATAGGAGATTTGATGGCAGGGGCTTTGTGGATGCCAACCGGGATGTCTTGCAGGAGGGGTTTTTAAGGACCCCGAGAAATATATTTGCGGTGCGGGAGTATTGGGCGAAATGCAGGCATCCGATCGTTATGTGATGATGGAGAGGGCTGCAAGGGATGAAATGGACATGGAAGAGGATTTACACAAGCTTTGCGAGCATTGCATGGGCAATCTACTGAAGTGGTTGGTGGCGGCTGCGGGGTATAAGCAAGTGTTCATGGAGCTACTAAAAGGTTTTTGGATGCAGCCGCCGAGGAGGCGAGGAGCCCAAAGACGACGAGTGCACCGAGTTACCTGGAGGGATGCTACGAGTCTGTGCACAATGCGAGGTGGCATCATGTGGTGGAAGTCCCTGGCGGCGAGGGGACGGGAATGGAGGTGAGGGAAGGGGAACCACCACAGCCATGGACGTACAGGGCAGTTGGCGACTCTCTCGAAAAGGATGACGGTGTGGGGCAATCCGGTGCACCGCGTCCCAGGCTGATGGTGCTCACCTCGGACAAGGCATGGCCGTACTCGTGGAATCGTAAGGGGGCGGAATCCACTCGTGGCTGCTATGTGAACTGTGAGGTGGATCGAGTGTGGCAGATCGTCAGCGGCGGTCTCACCGAATGGTTCAGCAGTCACGGTCGAACCGACTTTAAGCCCAAGAGGCGTCTGTTGATTGGGACGCCCGGGATCGGGAAGTCGATGGCTGCCGGCTCGTACCTTCTCTGCCAGCTGCTGCAATACGACGTCGAGAAACTCCCAGTAGCTGCCTACAGTGTTGGTGGAAATACGACGTAAGTGTCTGACGAGAACATCAAGACGGTGTCGGAATACAGGAGCAATACAACGTCCAAGAGAGTTTTGTGTGGTTTGTGGTGGCGTGGGATGAAGGGGTATATCATCTAGGATGTGACAGAGGAGGGAACAGCGCCAGCGAAAGGTTTTGCGTTTTTTGATGAATGGGGCATGATTGTGGTGTCCTCCCTAGAGGTTAGGAACTATGGTGAATGGGTGAGGCAAGTAAGAGCCGAGCGAATCATCATGAATTGCCCCGACGAGATGGATGTGAAGGCGATGTGTGCATGGACGAAGCGTGATGAGACCAAAGAGAAGCAAGCGGAATGCTTGAAAGAGGTCAAAAAACACATGTATCTTTTGGGACCGATTCCGCGTCACGTCTTTGATGAGGAGGCGTTTAGTGGACGCCGTGGAGCGGTGAGTTTGCATTGGAATTGACCAACGACGTAACTGTGAAAGAGTGCTTTCCACGGGGAGGTGAGTCGCCACGGTATTCTGAGGACCCGTCCCACAAGCCCGTGAGGGTTGTTCGGGAAATATACGAGGGCGGTGTGAT